ACACACACACACACACACACACACACACACACACACACACACACACACACACACACACACACTCACTCTATGGCATGCAGGCTTAGCTAAAGGAGTCAAGTGATGTCTATATTTCTAACCATGGAAGCATATGTAATATTTGAAAAATTCTGTTGTACCTTGCAGAATTAAAGTTTTTTACCAGCTCATCTAATATCCGGTTATTTTTCAGGTCAGGTTCCGTGACTGCCTACAAAAGAACAGAAGTAAACAGACAGTGTTCAAGCAAACAATTTACTTCTCAGATGTGTGTTTCGGACACCACCCAGACAACCACCACCCCTCAAAATTGTTAAGTCAAAAAAGTTGCATAAAAATGAAGTACAAATATCTTCTACTGAAAACCATCTAAGACCCTGAAATAAGTGAGTCTCGAAAATGTTAGGTAATACCCAGAAGTATAGATAAAAACAATACTTTGTTCCAAGACCAACCCCATTAACACTAGTCTCCAACAATGCTTTATTGTACCCAAGCTCCAATCATTTCGGAAGACAAAAGTAGGCTCCTAAGGATGAGATGCGAACATTAAGCAAGAAGGAGTAAACAAAGGAAAATGTCAGTCTGAATAATGATGGAATAAAAGATACAGATTATGGGGTAGTTTTCTGCATACATATTCTTTTAAAAGAACCTTCTTCTCTATTCTAATTTTTCTCCTGTGTTACCATTCCAGAGCTTCCTTTTCCCTTACTCATATCAATCAATGGGATTTTTAAGAAGGTAGACGGATGGATATAAAATGTGCAGTTCAGAAATATATACTGAAGAGTCTGCACTTTTTTAAAACGTCAAAAAACTGACAATATATTACAAATAGACCTTTCTAAATTCTTGCCTTGAACAGACTCATGCTTTAGGAATATGTAATGAAAATTACCTATATTTTGCCAGTACTTTTGAAACATTGTTTGTTGTGTTTAAGTAGGATACCATTTAAAAACATCCAGTAAAACCCAACTGGCTTAAAGGCAAATCCTATCTTAAAGTCTAAGACAAATGGTCTTCCATGCACTTTATTAAGTGAAAGTCTTTCAGATAAGATCTTAATAAGAAAGTCCTGCCTGTGCTGCACGGTATTGCTGGTCCTCAGTGTTTTTCAGAAGAGAAGGGATTTACCCCAGTATCCATGGTCAACATCTACATGCCTCTGCTCCTTAGTATACTGCCATCCTCCACCCCAGAAGTGGCTGCACTACACATCTGATGAGTTGTATGGAACTCATTTAACAATATGAGTAGCAAATATATTAAACTACTTATTCTACACAATAGACACATAGGAATACACTTAATCTCCACTATGCAGAGTGTCCCAGCAGCATCGACAAGACTTAATTAATTAGAACTAGAATGTTAGAAAATGCTCTCATGGGGGGAGGGGGGGGGAGGAAATCACAAAAGTCACTTCTGAGTATACTCAATCTAAACATTCCATCACCAGCCACCCCAAAATAACGTGTACTCCTCAATTTAAAATATGCGGGGGGGGGGAAGGGAATCCATCAAAAGCCATTTCTATTGGCTATAGGTTCTGTAAGAGTTTATTTTTTACTAATCCTAAATTCTGGATCAAATTCAACCTGACAGTGTCTCTTTAAAAGACCAGTAATGTGAACCATGGAATGATCAAAGATTGATGAAAATTCATTGTCCCTTTGGGGAATAAATGCAACATTTTCAAACTCAGGTGCCTACAAGTAAGTGCCTAAATCTGTATTAGACCACTTATTTAGGTGCCAAAGATTGCAATGACTTCAATGAATATTCAGGACCTCTGAAAAAAATCATGACACTTAGCTGCCTAGATATGGATTTTAGGTGCTCAACTTGAGGCTCTCTCATTTGAAAATACCAGCAGAGGTGAACAATATAAGAAGCAGTTCTATATATCTTACAATGACATATCTGATTAGACCCAAAGAGGAAAAAAAGTCTTAATACTAAAGATTTGCCCAAAACAATATATAAGAAAAACAAAACAAAAACACTTACCACACAACATGTTGGACATTGAGTTTTGTAAGACAGAAATTTGCGTATACAAAGGGAACAATCTGAAAAAAAAAAATGAATTACATACCATATAATCAGAGTGTACTAAGCTAAGATGAACACACATTGTTGACAGTTTTCAGAGTGGTAGCCGTGTTAGTCTGTATCAGCAAAACAAAAAAAAACAAACACAAGGAATCCCTGTGGCACCTTAGAGGCTAACAAATTTATTTGGGCATAAGCTTTTGTGGGCTGTTACCCACTTCATCAGATGCATGAAGTGAAAAATACAGGAGCAGGCATAAATACCCCTCTGCCATGTACATTGGCCAAACCAGACAATCTCTATGCAAAAGCATAGATGGACACAAATCTGACATCAGGAATCATAACATTAAAAAACGAACTCTTCAGTCTCTCTGGTCACTCAATAACAGACCTAAAAGTGGCAATTCTTCAACAACAAAACTTCAAAAACAGACTCCAATGTGAAGCTGCAGAACTAGAATTAATTTGCAAACTGGATACCATCAGATTAGGCCTGAATAAAGACTGGGAGTGGTTGGGTCATTACAAAATCTAAACCTAATTTCCCCAATACTAATTTCTCCCTACTGTTACTCACACCTTCTTGTCAACAGTCTGTAATGGGCCACTCTCTTACCACTTCAAAAGTTACCCTTGGTATCCTGGTGTTAATTGGTTTATCTTGTTAGACTGACCTCACACTTGGTAAAGCAACCCCATCCTTTCATGTATTTATACCGACTCCTGAATTTTTCACTTCATGCATCTGATGAAGTGGGTTCTAGCCCACGAAAGCTTATACCCAAAAAAATGTGTTAGTCTCTAAGGTACCACAAGGACTCCTTGTTTTGTTTTGTTTTGTTTTGTTTTTAAACACATTGCTGAGTAACTATATACATATATATATTAAATCTAGCAAAATGTGAACTAAAGTAATTATAGTCATACGTAAAAACAGAAACATTCAATAAAGAATACTATTCTATTTTAATGGAACCTTTACCAGCATATTTCAGCATTTGATCTCAGTCTGTGTGTCCATTTTAAAAAAAAATATTTAGCAAATATATCCCAAAGCAACATCAACTACTATTGCTAACATATCATAGTTTACTGAGCTAACCTTCAAGTTTGAAATAAACTACACTTCCTAGAACCACAAAATTCAAATCCCATCCAGTATATGCCAGGTTGCATGCTCCTGTCTTTTAGGGCCTTGTCCAAAGCTCACTGAAGTCAATTCACTAACTCCCATTAACTTCAGAGAACCTTCAATTAGCCATTATTTTTATCTTCCTGCTAAGAAATGATTAAAGGGGTAAGGGCTTGATCCTGCAATGCGCTGAGCACCCTCAACCAAAGCTGAAAGTTTACTTCAGTGGGAGTTGAGGATACTTAGCATCTTGCAGAATTGAGCCTTCCAGAAGGGCTTCTTTGGATTAAAGGAGTAAGAAGGGCCTAGGAATTCCTGAGTTCCAATCCCAGCTCTGACAATGACTCAGTGCGTGGATATGGGCAAGGCACTTCGCTTCTCTACCTCAAGTTCTCCATTCAGTAAAATGGAGATAAGACCTCCCTCACAGGAGTGTTTTTAAGTGCTTTGAGCATGTAAAGCTCCATAAGCATATGAGTGTTCTGTGTTACTGTTATGTAAATTAATAGATCTGATTAAGTTCTCTGCTGATAGGTTTTTATTCCCTACTAGCCTACTGTCAAGTAAATGTTCTGTCCTAGTTTTAACTCATGGACATAGCTTTCATTACACCTAAGTAAAGTTGATTAAACTTTCCAATAATATTGTAATTGCATTTCTTCTTGAAACAACTCTATTTTTAAGGAAAAATCTGTCAGAAGCATCACACACTGCAGCCCAAGTTATTCACAGATTGCTTTGGGCATGCAGCTGTCTAATAACAGCTGGAAGAGCACATCAAGCAATAACAATCATTAAAGATAATTTTAGCATGTACTTTCTTATTGTTCCAGTTAAATTTCCTGCACCTCTCTGTCTGCAATAGTCACAAGCACACCTACGTCAAAGTGCTTCTGCAATATACCTTCCTAAGGGCTGGTCTACACTAAAGCTGTAAGTCAACCTAAGTTATGCTACCTCAGTTACACAAGTTAAGTAACTGAAGTCGATGTAACTTAGGTCGGTAACTTAGAGCAGTATCTACTCCACACTATTTTGATGGGAGATGCTCTCCTGCCGACTTACTTCCCGCCTCTCGGGGAGATGGAGTACAGATGTCATCATCTGCCATTGACTTAGCTTGTCTTCACCAGATCCACCAAATCGACACCGCTAAATCGATCGCAGCAGTGCCAATTTAGTCATAAGTATAGAGACGCCCTAACACAATGTGAAAAGAACATTAGGGTTACAAAACCAAGCACTCAAAAGTTGGGAAATGCCAGAATTAAGGATGCCTGCACAAACTTAACTCAGCCCCATTGTGCATATGCCAGCACAGGGATCGGCAACCTTTGGCACGCGGCTCGTCAAGGAAATCCGCTAGGGGGCCAGGACAGTTTGTTTACCTGCAGCGTCCGCATATTCGGCCGGGCTGCGGGAAGCGGCGTGGGACAAGGGATGTGCTGGCCACCACTTCCCGCAGCCCCCATTGGCCTGGAACGACGAACCATGGCCAGTGGGAGCTGTGATCAGCCGAACCTGCAGATGCTGCAGGTAAACAAACTGTCCCGGCCCACCAGCGGATTTCCCTGTTGGGCCACGTGCCATTGGTTGCCGATCCCTGTGCTAGCATATCAATACCAGCAGCATTGACACCACTGAAGTCTCCCTGGTGCCCGGTGCCAGAGCAACCCATAGCGCCCAGGAACAGCAATTGCACGGAAAGTCCTGCTTGGCCCCTGCAACCCTAGGGTAGAGCACGCTCAGTACAGATGTAATCTTCCAAGAATTTAGCTACCAAACTCCACCAAGACTCTACAGACTAGGTGCAAACAGATTTTCAGAGGTATCTGAATTGGCCCAACATGTACATTTTTTGGCACAACCAGCAAAAGGCACCACCAGGGCAACACCCTTGTCAAATTTCAAGCCCTTGAGCCAACGCATTTAAGCTACATAGCTTCTCAACAAACCAACTGTAATTTTTTTTAAACATGTATTTTTTCCTAATCTCATTCTTAGAAATAGCTAGAGCACTTTTTTGCTGAAACTTGCCAGCAAATTCAGCCTGAGGCAGACACCCAGCATGGAAAATTTCAACCAAGACAGTTAATATTTGGCAAAATCATAATCAACTGAAAACAGGATCTTATAATGGGAGATGACAGGTAATCTTAACTAAAGGCAGCACTACCAGCTCCACCTATAATCCCATCTACAAGACAACTTTGAGCCCTACTCCTGACTCTAGGTCTTGCTAATGTATTATTCTGAAAGACACTTCAGCAGTGAGTTGATAGAAATACACTCTTTGTAATAAAAACAATGGCATTTAAATCCACTAGTCCCCACAACAGACAGCTGCATTCTCAAAAAAACAAGTGGCTGTTTCCCAACAAACCTCTCAGAAAAATGACTGCCCAATTTACAACCTGCATTTGTGAAAGTGTCGGCTAGGATGTATAGATGAAAGACGGTGGTCTTTGCTCACTAAAGACAGTGGTTACCACTGAACCATCTAGTACAAGGCACCATCTGCGAGTTGTGATTTAGAAGCAAGGACACAACTAGAATTTTGCTGGGGAGGGGTGGGCAAGTTGCCTGCCGAACTGCCCCAAATTTGAGTGGCATTGCAACCTGGCACATGGAGTCACAACATCACTCAAATTTGACCTTGCCTCCCCTCTGCTATGCCAGCAGAGTAGGGACTCCGCTGTTACACCACCCAGCTGTGGTTGAAGGCTGGGGGAGGGAACCTGGGCCACCCCCTCCTTGCACCCGTTTAAAAAGGCTATACATTGTTTTTTTTAATTCCCATCAAGAACCTATAAGCTCTGCACTCTAGTAAATAATAAATGACCAGATCATAACTTTCCATGTGAACCACCACCAGAGAGGAATTTTTATGAGGAAACCGCTGCACCAACTCTCTACAGCATGCCTTGAGAACAGAGTGCAGGAAGGGGCTAGCTCCCTGCAGTAAAAACCACAGGACCATCCCCCAACCCTGATAGATCCTGGGGGAAATCACAAAAGGCAGGATCATGCACACTAAGGCTATGTCTACACTACCGCGGTAAGTCGACCTATGCTATGCAACTCCAGCTACGTAGCTGGAGTCGACACACCTCAGGTCGAGTTACCGTGGGGTCTACACCGCGGGGGGTTGACAGGAGGAAATCTCCTGTCGATTTACCTTACTCTTCTCGTCGGGGGTAGAATACACGGGTCGACTGGAGAGCGATCTGCAGTTGATTTGGCGGGTCTTTACTAGACCCGCTAAATCGACTGCCGGTGGATCCATCTCAGAGCGTCGATCCCTGCCATAGTGTGGAACTGCCCTAAGCTTCAAGGCCAGAGCTAAAGCTGAGGTATAGATTTGCACCCCTTGGGCTCAATGCCAGTGAGGCTTCGTTGGAGTCAGGGTTTCGGGTCCCATTTAACACAGTTGTCCCTGTATGCCCTGGGACAGAGTGGAGAGATGCATGGAAAATTTAATACAGCTCTAGGCAATAAGTTCTATAAGGCCAAAAGGGGGTGGGCAGGAAAGAAATCTGCATAACTTTAGCCTCCATCTGTTGATGTACCACACAAGGGGTCCACTCACATAGGGCCCGATTCTGCAGTCACTCCACATGTAGAACTCCTGTTAATTCAAGTGAATAGAACTCCTGTTCAGAGCACGGCCACACACACACCCCAGCTGGCTACTGCCAGCTGTGGAGCAATGAAGTGCATCCCCTGGCCTTGGGTGCAGCGTGCTCCAGCACCCCTCCCCTCCCCCCGGAATCCCTTATCCCTGCCTCTGCCACACTGCTGCACGCAGGGATAAGGGATCCCCAGGAGACTGTGGTGAAGTTTTGGGACTGGCTCCCATTCACCGCCCTCAGCGCATGCTGCCCAGGCATCTCTGCACACGCAGCCCCAGGAAGGGCCGGGGGGGCCCCAGAAGCAAGGGACAGAGGATGGAGTGGGACCAAGAGGCTGCCTTGTAGGGAGGCGGAGTGGCAGAGCTCCTGGATCAGCACAACCAGGGGAGAGATAACGCCCAGCATCCTGGCCAAGCTTATTCTACTCCAAAGGCAATTTATTCCAGTGCTTAACCAACCTGACAGTTAGGAAGTTTTTCCTAATGTCCAACTAAACTGCCATTGCTGCAATTTAAGATCATTGCTTCTTGTCCTATCCTCAAAGATTAAAGACAACAATTTACCTCCCTCCTCCTTGTAACAACCTCTTATGTACTTGAAAACTGTTATCATATCACCCCTCAGTTTCTGTTCTCCAAACTAAACTAAATTATTATTTTTTTCCAATCTTCCCCCATAGGTCATTTTTCTAGACCATTATCATTTTTTTGTTCATCTCTGGACTTTCTCCAATTTGTCCACATCTTTCCTGAAACCTGGTGCCCAGAACTGGACACAATACATCAGTTGAGGCCTAATCAGCGTGGAGTAGAGCGGAAGAATTACTTTGTGTGTCTTGCTTACAACACTCCTGCTAATACATCCCATAACGATATTTGCTTTTTTTGCAACAGTATTACACTGTTGACTCATATTTAGCTTGCGATCCACTATGACCCCTAGATCCCTTTCCACAGTACTCCTTCCTAGGAAGTCATTTCCCATTTTGTATGTGTCCAATTGATGGTTCCTTCCTAAGTGGAGTACTTTGCATTTGTCCTTATTGAATTTCATCCTATTTTCTTCAGGCCATTTCTCCGGCTTGTCCAGATCATTTTGAATTTTAATCCTATCCTCCAAAGCATTTGCAACCCCTTCCAAGCTTGCCATCAGCCGCAAACTTTATAAGTGTACTCTCTATGCCACTATCTGGGGCCTGGTCTACACTAACCCCCCCAATTCGAACTAAGGTACGCAACTTCAGCTACGTGAATAACGTAGCTGAAGTCAACGTACCTTAGTTCGAATTTACCACGGTCCAGACACAGCAGGCAGGCTCCCCCGTTGACTGCGCGTACTCCTCGCGCCGAGCAGGATTACTGGAGTCGATGGGGAGCACTTCTGGGTTCAATTTATTGCGTCCAGACAAGACGGGATAAATCAAACCCAGAAGTTTGATTGCCTGCCACCGAACCAGCACGTAAGTATAGACAAGCCCTAGGTGTCAGCTTAACAACGGCCTTGACCCTCCAGCCCTGCAGGGTCCTGAGACCATAGGTTCAAGCCCTAGGTTAACATAATTGGTGTGTGGACACCAGGGGGGTTAGGCTCTCTAACAGAAGAGATGGCAGGATGGAATGAGAGTCAGGCACTAGTAAAGGATACATACACCCCCCCCCCATAAAACTACTCCTGTACTTACAGTTATGTGAACACTGTGGTATGATCATTGCAGTATCAAAGTAATCAAAGCATATCCCACAACGCAACAAATCATCCACTGCCTGAAATGGGAAAAATAAAGTTAAGGTCATTCAAAGGCACCCTTCAAGAGCTCTTCATCTGACTATACGTCTGATATAAGAAATATCTACATGCTTTCACTCTCAGAAATTCTTGTCCACCAGTTTCCTAAACCCCATAGATGAAAAACAACAATCTCTCACATCTCTTGGGGATGAGTTTAACAGCTGCTTTATGTCAAAAGCTGTTACACTAAATGCCAACACAAATGCAAATTGTCACATAGCTATTCGGTAGCAGCTTGCTGAACACAAATTCAATAAACAAACTGAACTGAGAACAGCTTCCAAAATCAGTTCCAATGTGTAGACTTAATCTTTGGCACCTCTGCTAGAGCTCAAGGGGGAAAAGGGGGAAGGGAAAGGCAGTTCTTGCAGAAGACCCTTCCCAAATGGGAGCTCTGCTAGCAATTCAATATTCTCTGACATTTCTCCTGACAAACTCTCCCCATCCAGCTTTCTCCCTAGCAAAAATGGGGGCATGGGTCTTGTTGAAAGCAAAGGGCCTGCTCTGCTACCTAAAAGTTTTAGGAGGGGTAGGGAAGGTAAATTCCACTATAAGGCCAGCTGCAATCCTCTGATATTTCAGGTATCCCCAAGGTCACTCTTGGGAGCCCCCATCAATCAAAATGCCAGCCCTGACCCTTGGCCAGCTCTGGAGAACCACGCTCTTGATTAAGCATTTTAAGGACCCCACTCTTACTTATAAGGATCTCTGGACCATAAGTCTTTTACCACCCTCCATAAGCACCAATGGACGCGCCCCCATCCCTTCCCCCATGTCCTGCCCCACCCCAGTTCTCACTGGGCAGGCCCCGGGCCTCTCCCTGTCTCACCGGGCCGGTACCCCCCGTTGTCAAGGGGGGGGGGCGGCTCGGTACACGCCCATACAGCTGGGATCCGCGGCTCCAGTGAGCTACCCCCAGCGCAGCGCCAGGACTGAAGCCCCATGGGGCCTCCCTCCCACTTACTTTCAGCAGGGAGAGGTTCTCCGGCCAGCGCGGCTCGGCCAGCGCCATGGTACTCACCCCAGGGCGGGCCAGCTCCCACCCCGCACGCAGCCGGCCCCAAATCACCCGCGCTCAGCAACCGGCGCGCGCATACTTCCGGCCCCGCCCCGGAGGTTGCTGGGAGATGTAGTTTCTGCCGCGGCTGCGCTCGGCTCCCCTGGCAGAGCTGTGGCTGGGCCGGCCAGGGTGGGAGCGGGGAGGCTTGTCCCCCTAGGAGAAGCTATATACCTATCTCATAGAACTGGAAGGGACCCTGAAAGGTCATCAAGTCCAGCCCCCTGCCTTCACTAGCAGGACCAAGTACTGATTTTGCCCCAGACCTCTAAGTGGCCCCCTCAAGGATTGAACTCACAACCCTGGATTTAGCAGGCTAATGCTCAAACCACTGAGGGATTCCGTCTTTGCTGCAGTGTCAGCCTCCCTCTCCCAGAGACATTGCCAGGGCTGTTTAAAATACAGGGGCCGGCAGGTGCAATGGGACCCTCCCCTCAGGGATTTCCCTACACCCCTCCCTCCCCCCCCCCGAATTTCACCAACACACCTCCCACCCCCAGTTTTGTGAACTAGTTACATGCAGCGTTGCCAATTTAGTGATTGTTTGGAAATTTGAATTGAAATGGAAACATTAATACAAACTTTAAAAGCATATGAAGTGTATGATAAAATACGTGCATCTGAAAAAGTATAATAGATTTGAAAACTATGAACATAGACTAGTTTCCTTGCACAGCTGTTGTTTTTTATGACAATGTCAGTGCATTCATTTCGCTGATGTTGGCCAACCTAATAATTTCAAATTATGATTTGTAAGCAAAGTCTAAATGAGCTCTCCCTGACAGCTACTGATGAGCTGGGGGGAAAGGTTTCAGGACCAGATTGTATTTACATTCACACCTAATCTACATAGGTATCCAGCAAACAGAGCTGTATTGCCCATGTAATAGATTTTGGCTGGGGTTGGGTTACAAATCCCTTGAATGAGAGGGGTAATGTATTCTTATTGTATGAATAAAGGGCAGTAGAACTGTACTTAGCCTGTGCTGATTGAGGGCATCAAGAGAGGACGGAGACACGTGTTTTGCTTGATGGTCTGCCTGAGTCACAAGTACTAGTGACATCCTTCTCCCACTACAAGAAAGGGACCAAGTGACCTCCGCCATTGGATCATATGAACTGGAACCATAAACTCCCTAAACATTAAATCTCACCAAATGAGGGTCAATCTATCCTCATCATCATATCCACTCATTATACTCCACACCCGAACACAACCACTCTATGAACTTCATACCCTCATATCTCAATGTCTGTACTTTGACCCATCAACCTTTTCCCCCTAATCGGGGATATTGCAGACTATGTATTCCTCATGCTACCTGATCTTAAACCAAACTTTGCACCCTCGATAATCTGTATGTTATTCCCTGATAACCAGAAACTTCTATGCTCAAACTCTGTTCACTATTTATTTATTTTTTAACATCATCTTAATAAAAATTTTAAATTTGACCTGCCCCTCACCACTGTTTAAAGACAGAGCTGATTAGGCTCCGCAGATAGTCTTTTGTTTTGTTAAGTGACCACTACAGCTGAAATCACTGAAAATCAGGTCTAAGCACTTAGACCTGCTGTGGGACAGTGTTTCTGTGGAAGAGATGACCCAGTCTGCACTAGCAGTGAGGTTCCCGCACTGAGAGCTCAGTGAAATCACAGAGAGCTGGGTAAAACCTCAAGAGACCAACTCTCAGAGGTCATAGTGGCAGGTGGCAGCAGAAGGTGATGGTACAGGGCCATTGGCAACAGAGTGAACGGTGGCACAATGAACAACAGTGGCCAGAGCGAACAGTGAGCAGCTGGAGGAACAAGCAAGGTGCCTTCTTGCCCCCTACCTGGGAGGTGAACTCATGTGAAAGCACCTCTGAACTCTGAGTCTCCACTGACCAAGGACAACACCGGTGAGTGTTAATGAGACTGTTAAGAATGCTGGACACACAACTCAGTTCATGCGAACAAACAGGGCTGTGGCATCATACTTTCTATTTAAGCAAGAGATACCACGTACTACAAACTGGAGGCCAATGTTCGTCCTGAAGTTGAACACTGGTTCCAAACAAGACCAGCAAATGCTCACTATCTTTCTGCAAGAAACTCAACTGACTGGCTAGAAGCATGTGGTGCAACATTGAAAGACTCAACAGTTGAAAAAGTGAAGAACTCTCACCACATTCAAAAAATTTGCATACGTGGCTGATGAATGCACCGATGCAAATGGGCATCAAGTATTAAGTCATTGTGTACATTATCTTGATGTCAGTGGTAGGCCAGTAGATGCATTTCTAGATGTTCAAGTTATAGAAGACACATCGGCTGCATCTGTGACAACCCAATCTTAGAAGAGTCAAATGCTTGTCAGTTGGACCCCAAACAGATAGCTGCTTGTGCATTTGATGGAGCTGCAAACTTCTCTGGAAGACATGGTAGAGTACAAGGTTTGCTCAAATAAAAATGTAACCCTAATCTCTATTATACACACTGCAGAGGCCATCTACTCCAACTAGCGCTAGTACGAGCTGCAGACTCTTCAAAAGACATTTAAAAAGCTATAAATTTAATGTCTTCATTATATTATTTTTTCAACAAGAGTCCAAAAAGACTGAATATCTTGGAATATATAGAAGATACACTGGGACTGAAGTTCAAATTAGTCCAACCTGGGAAAAACCTCTGGCTTTCTCATGAGCAATCGTGGACTGTTGTCTTAAAATTACTCCAGCCATTATTACTGGCTTGGAAAGTATCTACCAAGATGGGATGGATCTAAGTAATGAGGCTGGTGGATTACTTTTGCTACTACGTTCAGAGAAGACTATTGCCATTCTCTCTCTTGTAAGTCTACTGTTGAAAACACTTGGGTCATAAAACAATGCCATCCAGGCATCTGCTACAACAGTAGTAGATCTTTGTCCAGCAATAGAAACTACATTTGGATCAGAGAGCTATCCATTGAAAAAGTACTGGAAGAAGCAAAGACTTCAGTCCAGAAGTTGACTAATGAAGGCATTTATATTGAATCCTTAAGTGAAGAGGACAAGAAGCGTTTGATAAGACAACTGAAAAAGTACACAGACTTGATTCTTAAAAATCTACAACAGCGACTTCTAGATTCTACTCAACCTCTACATAGCTTTTACAGATCCCTGTCCTATAAAACACTGACAGTTGAGTGGAGTGAGTAAGGCACTACCAGCAATGGGGCTGCCATGTGCTCAGGACAGAACAGAGAATTTGAACACAGAGTGGAATATCATACGATGTATGAATGAAGATTTGACTTCAACTTCTTTTTTATTATCACTAGTGGCTCGACCCGATCTTTATGCTATGTTTCCTGGGATGAAAGAAGTAGGAATTCATCTCTTGCTACTCCCAGTCACAACAGCTACAGTTGAGCGTTCTTTTTCATCATTGAGTAGAATTTTGTGTTTGGAAAGAAGTCGCCTTCTGCCTGATCATGTGAATGAACTAATGAGCATATCAATTGAAGGAATGGAAGTACTGGACACATGAGAAGCCACCAAAGATGAACGCATTACATTCAAGAAGTTCATTAACAGAGTTGTGCAAAATTATAACAAGAAACCAAGAAGGATATAGATGTAGTGCTTCATAGAAGACTTGAGTAGCCAACTTTAATTTGTGTGATGATTTTAAAACATGAGTTAAATCTAATAAAATGGTCATTAAACATTTTTCAGTTTTTATTATGGTGCCATACAGCCCACCTTCACCCTCACCGTCTGACCCCTCATCGGCCCTGACACTCCCGCCTGTAAATTCAAACACCCCTGCTAATTTCAATTCTTGGGGAAAACATTGCCTCCCATTGTATCCACAGGGATGTCTCCTGGGATCCCGATGCTGGCCCTCCAGTGAATCCAACATCACACTCCACTATTGTCATCCCAAAAATACATATTCCTAAGAGGTGCTAGGCACAAAACACTCACGCAAGCATATTGCAGAAGGGTGGTACCAGATCACCCCGATAAACACATTCCCCAACAATAAGAAGAATACGCTGACCCATTTTAAGGATAAGGTCAGGATGACAGCATGATGAATAGAGCTGTTTTGATTGAACCTACAGATACAAGGCAATGGGTGGCACCCTGATATGTCAGAAGGCGAGAAGTAGCTTGTTTGTATTGGTGTATAAAGATGTATCTCAGAGGGAGTGTTTTTGTCCAGCCGAGAGGGCAGTGTAAAGGTCCGCCCCTGACTGAGCTGCGTCCATTGTCACCGACATACATGTGCTAGTGTAACTGTAGACATTGATCCTGGGAGCTAGGACCATGCTTTGCTGACAATAAACCTGGCCAGGTGCCTTCGCACCTTAACGGATTTTGTGGTCATTAGGCGGTTTGCTCAAGATCTGCTGTGCCAGCTATCAGCACAGAGCTGGGACAGCACACAAGGAACACACATGCAGCCGAACATCTGATGACAACTATCACAAGATTTTATTTAAAAAAACAAGTTTGGGCAGCTTTTTATTTGCCTCTAAGGTTCACATTTTCAATCTTTTCTTCACAACCACAAGGGGCAGAAACTTGCTTTAAAAAAAAAAGTGGCCATCTACACATAATCTGATGATTCAAGGAGCAGAGGCTTCAAGAAAAATGCCAAATATTGCAAGACTAGCAATACAATGGTAAGCATGAGCAACAGCGTAGTCTTCAGAACATGCTACAAGACCATTAGTTTGTCCATAATTTTGCCTGAGGAGAAGATGCTGGAGATCACTGATGACTTTTAGAGTCACAGAATTTAAGGCTAGAAGGGACCACTGGATCATTTAGTCCGACCTGGCTACCACCACCCAGCACCCACACATTAAACTGAAATTATACAAAGTATTATAGGAGACTAGACTATATGTGCCACAGCCAGAGAATAGGAGGGACCACGGTGCACCAGT